TTACCAAGTTTTGAAATGTGATTAACCAAAATGTGTGTATAAGCGAACAAAATTAAATTTATGTCTTTGTTAAATCAATAATTCGAAACACACAGATTCGATTCCCTCATATACAATTTATAACCGTTTCATAGAACCAAAATTTTCTCGAAAAAAAAGTTGCAGAAGCTGCATCAATGGCGGAATCTGCGATTCTCCTCCTCTCGAAAGCCAGAGATCTTCTTGCTACTCCAAGGCACGAAAGACTCGAGCTTTTGCTCAATCAACTCGCTAAACCTCAAGAATCCATCGAATTCCAATCGGCTCTTGCTCTATTCAAATTCTGCGCTTCGAAATTCCCAAAACCCATCTCTCACTTGTCGCTCTCTATGATATCAAACCCCTTTTGATTTCATGCTTGAAGATGGAAGAAACCGAAGAAACCCACATGAAGATCTTTCGAAAGATCGTCTCTTTCGTTGCTTATAACGTTGTTTCGTTGGATAATGATGGTTGGGATGAGCTTAGTGATTGTATCCTCTCTTTTGTGGAAACTGAACCTTTAAAAGCTTTTCATTTGTTCATCGAATTGCCTCGAGTTTATAAGAGATTCATTGATAGGTTTAAGCAGAGAATCCTTGTGGAAGGTGAGAAATTGTTGTTGCTTAGTCATGAGGAAGATGTTGAAGTTTGGAGTTTGTGTTTAGTGACTCTTCTGAAAATGGGTGTACAGATATTGGATTCAGTAACGAGATCGAGTTTGGTTAACATTACTGTGTCGGTTCTTGCGAAGTCAGTGAAAGAGTTAGTGAATAAAGGAATGGTAGAGTTTGTGGTAAAAGGGCTTGAGAATCTTGAGAGGTTCTTCTTAAGAGATAGGGATTTGTATGGTTACAGTAAGAATCAATGCCTTTATGTGTCAGCTTTCATGCACCAGATCAGAGAACTCGGATCAAAGATCAAGGAGGTTTCGACGAGGATCAATTGGTTTATCCGTGCTAACATCAATGAAGATCTTGATCGTGTTTATTTCGAACATGTGAACACCTTATCGTTGGTTCAAATCGTGGGAATTGTTGCCTCGGTTGATCAGGAAGAGAGGTTGAAAGATATGGCAATCAGACGGCTAAACTTCTTACTTTCTGATGATAATCCGAAGAAAGCGGAAACCGATGTTCCTTTGATGAGAAAACTCCAGACATTGCTCGTTTCTTGGCTTACGAAAGAAGGAATCTCTGGGAGTATGTTCAAAATCATTGGTGAGGTTGTGTACCATGTTGCGGATGAGATGATGTCCTCCGGAAGAGAGCCATGGTTGGGTCTACGCGATTACATTGTATCGCAGAGCAAAACAGA